TTTTTTTAATGTATTACTTGGCTTTAATTTGAGTATGTTTTTCGCGTTGGAACGAATTATTTGGTTTTACATGTAATCGTATGGGAAAAGATGATCCACCTTACGACATTTTCATGATACGATCTCAGTTTCGGAACGGATTAATTTCGTATCCTGAGGTACCACTGTATTTTAAACGCGGATTAACACACGTTAAATTTATGCCGTCGATCTGATTCAGGAAATAATCCAGAAACATCTCTTAACAAAATATAGAGAATTTAATAAACAAAATAAACAATACTAATACAAAATAAGAAATAATCAAAAATCCAAAACAGTCAATCAAAAAATAATAATAATAATCAAATCAATCGCGACTGGAGGAAAATCTATTCTTAGCCTATACCAGGTCGAGAGAGAGAGCTCACAATTTATTCCTAAACATACGACCTGTTTACTTGGCAGTGTCTTAATTGGCAGTGTCGTCTTCTTATTCGACGAAGGAACGTCATAGTTTTCTTAGGATTAACTTGACAGGGTATGACGATGGTGTTGGTCTGCTGGCATATATGTGTGGAGTCCTTTCCACTCACTGATCTTAAAGGACGAACTCTTAAGGATGTTGGCCTTAGAGAGCAAATGAGTGGAGTCTCGTCACTCTCGGATCTGCTGAAGAACTCCCCGAATTCGTCTGAACTTCGCCGATATCTTCCCATTTACGACCAATCGTTGTATTCGGATTTTCCCACGTGGACGGATGGGAAGGGGTAGAAATCAGGGGTAAACAGTTTCCATCAAAGCAAGATTTTTAGCAGTTAAGGGAAAAACAGAGGATGCTCATACTTCCGTCAAAGGAAGTGACTCTCCTAGCTGTTTTCCCATGCTAGAAAAATGTTACTTTTCCATCAAAAGGAAAGAATATTTTATGACAAAATTTTAATATTATTTTTAAATTATTATTTTAGACCCAGGGTTATTCGGATCTCACACTACTCTCTTATCTTCAAAAATCACACTAAATTTAAATGAGGCGTGATTTTTCACCCTATTACATAAGCTCAAATTTCTCTCTCTCTCTGAAAATCTCATTAAACAAATCAAAAATCTAAAAGTATACAATATATATATATAAATCAAATTCAAATGCATTGATAAAAATAAACAAATTTGCAATTAAAATATTAAGATTAACATAATTAACCTATTTCATTGTCCTTTACATGAAGGTAAAAAGTTGACATAGTTCGTAGTTTGTTGAACGTACGGATGGTTTCGACGAGTGTATCTAATAGTAACTT